AGCTTCAGACGTGGATCCTCATAACGGACCAATTCCTCCGCTTGGCTTTTGTTTACTTCCGCCCACTAAATCTYCAAGTTTTCGCGTTTAAAATTCACCCTGAAGGGATTAAAGGTGAAGCAGGGATGGAGTTGTTCCCTTAGYTCCTCTAACGGTACACGACGCTCCTCTATCCGCTGAGCGTGCGCCTCTGCCCGCAGCGGTGGACATGGGCTGCGGCTTGAGAAAACTTGAGGATCCTGAGGACAGCAGTCCCGGGAAAATCTACTCCACCCTGAAGAGACCGCAGGTGGAGACCAGGACAGACACCGTGTATGAGTACGTGCTGCTGGACTTCAGTCTGGAAGGTRTGGAATTAAATAATTTGTTTATTAAGGGGGAAACCTTTTTTATGTTTCAACTTTCCTAGTATGGTTTCACATTTGTTTGTCATTAAACTTGTGAACACATATTTATATCAGTGACTATTCTAAAGCAACAGTTAATAATTCAATGTCTTCATCAGGTTTTATTACCCTTTGGATTTGTCTTTAATAAAATAACAGTCACGTTGCTGTCCACAAAATTTGTAAGTAGCCTAGTTACCTTCAGAAATTAATAGTAAAAAATTATTAAGTAACTTATAGACAGTAGTAGTTCTGTGTTTGGATGAAGCAATGTTTTTGTCTATTTGAACATGGTTTAGACCAGGGGTGCCCAAACATTTTCCCCAAGGGGGCCAAAATGAAAATCTATCCATTGCTGCGGGCCAAATGCAGTTATATAATACATGAAATACAAATACTTTTTTAAAAGTAAAGTCCTTTATTTTTAACCATTAAGCTTTTGTTTTAGTCTGTGCACTTGGAGAAAGTCTGCCATACGCTCAAGTAGCAAAGGCTCATGGGACATATCATAAATAGATAAAATATGAGTTTTTGTGGCCTTATAAAGTGTGCAAATCTACATGCGGGGTTAAATCTGGTCTAAATATTTCTTGTTGTCATTTCGTGTTTCATCCTAATAAATCAAAGATAAAGTCAGCACCATGAATGAAAACTACCTTCACTACAGCCCTTTTATATAGTCATCTGACCAATGGAAATACTGTGTTTCTACCTATAGGATAACAGCTTACAACCTTGTAACTTTGGCAACTGTTGGTTAGGGGTGTAAGAAAATATCGATACACTGAAATATCGTGATATTTCATTTCCCGATACTGTATCGATATTCTAAAGCCCTGTATC